GAATGCTCTGCGTGTCCCCGAGCTGCGGGCTCTGGCTGAGGGTCATTAGAGATGCTCAGGTTGTGGCTGGTGAGACAGGCTGGGAGAAGGTCCCGGTCCCAAGGCTCACGGGCAGGGAGCGAGGTGAGCGGGCAGCCGAGCTGAAGCGGCGTGCTGAGGATTCGGCAGGGCCAAAGATGATGCAAAGACTTTAGATGCTCTTGGGAAGGACCGAAGCCATATGTGCCTCACTGCGTGCCAGGGGCGTGGAGAAAACCCAGCAAAGACTGGAAAGGGCTTTGTAGACTCCCTGCTGCCTTTGAGGACCTCCAGAAAGAACTGACTGAAAGAGGAGGCCATGTCAGGGCTGGTTTCAGTACGGAGCTGGGGTTTGCGTTGTTCTGAAGTCGAAGCGGTGCCTCTGTCCTGAGCCATCCCCCAAAGCCTTCTCTTGGCTTGCACTCTTGTGCCTCCCCAAACCACCGTTATCACCTCACCAGGTGGAGGTGCCTGGGTGGGAGACAAGAGATGCCCCATCGTCCCTCCCATCCCTAATTTTCTGTCCCTCCTTGCTTCTCCTCCCCTGAGAAACCTTTCCAGCAGCCTGATGGGGAGCACCCAGCGCCGGTGGAGAGGGCTCGGCGAGACGCCCTTGCTGGCAGTTGCCTGCACCTTCTGCCCCCCATACATCTTGCAGTCCCAGGACAAGCAGGGGGGCCTCTTCAGCACCGGGAAAGGGTGATTTCCAAAAAATGCTTGGCAGGGTTGTGTCTACCCTAGCTTGGGGTGGAAATAAGCCATCAGAGGGGGACCTGGAAACTCCCAGGCTGCCTTGGGGTGTGAGGGTTTGCAGCCACGGGGGGCCCTTTGTTGCCACCTAAAACTGAGGTCCTCGCCGTCTCTACCACTGAAGGATCACCAGGGACTTTTTTATTTTAGGCTCTTCATTAGCCGAGCAGCACACCCATTTATAACAAAATCTTTAAATAGCGGAAGGACAGCCAGGCAGCGTCACGGCTGGCAGTTAGTGCTCAGCTCCGGTACACGGTCTGTGGGCAAGTCACGTAGGGCTTGGGTTTTCTTCAGCAGTGAGCTGAAGCTGAATCTACCATGGGCTGGTTTGTTCCCATTCACCTCTTTCTTCGTGCTCAGTTGCTTTTGGCACACTGGACTTTCCAATAGGGAAGAGGCACGCGTGAACAAGTGTCACGCGGTGCCACCAATGCTCCCTGGACCACGCAAGGGAAATGCAGCATCCTTGATCAGAGTCTCTGCTCCCTCAGCTGCCATGCTCTGAAGAGGAAGGAAAGCGTTCCTCTCCCCTCTCCCCTTTTCTTTTCACCGCATTAAGGTTATAAGAGTGTTAGGAGATAGCAGAAGGGTTTGTGGCACCACTGAAAAAAATGCTGCAATTGGCCTCCTGTTGTTGCGGGGCAGAGATAGCCATAGCTGAAGGATGAAGCTGCCTAAAATATATAAATATTTTTTAATTTGATAGCTAATAGATAGTTGTTTATATATAATAGTCTGATTTTTTCCTTCCCTAGAAATTCTGAGGAAGGGCTTTAGAGTAATCCTGTATAGTTCATTACTCAAGTGATTCGCCTTTCTCCGGTTAAGAGCATCGCTGGCATCCTAAAACGTCAGTGCTGTTAACGTGAGTTGTAAATAAACCACCAGGGATGGGTTAGGTATTTTAAATCCTATAGCTCTTTCTGTAAGCATAGGAATTCTATTCGGAGTATTCTGGCTAAAATTCAGCATGAGTACTTACAATCTGCCAACTCCAATCCCCTCCTGGAGTTTCAAATGGATACGATATTTATCTTCACTTCCCATCTTAACTATTGTATGTTGTCGCTGTAGGTTGCTAAACAACTGCTGTCTCATAGGTGGCTGTATTTTGCTGGCAAATAAAGTGAGCCCCATGTGCATATGAACCATAAAGCTATTTGGAGTCCTTGCATAAGAACCCCAAGATACATGTAAGCTGTTAATATTTATTATGTGGAGCTGAGAACATCACTGAAGATGGAGGGATTAGAGTAACTGAGTTCAGGCTGTTGAACAGCCAGACAGAATGGAAGAGAAAACAGCGGCCCTGGAGGAATAAGAGCAAAAAGCATGAGGAATTTTCTACATGCAGGATTAGACTCCAGCGGAGCATGGAAAGAAAAAGCCTGAGAATGCTCCAGAGAGCCAGGGCAGATAGGATGGATGCAGCGTTATGGCTTCTTGCTCGGAGGTGAATCTTCCCCTCTCTGCTTCCCCTAAACAAGCAGCAGCCTAACCACGGGCTCGCTGGGCCGCGAACAGCAAGAGCCCTGTGAGGAGGAATGTGGCCACAGCAGGAGGCAGGTTGGATGAGGTGTTTCCAAGGCGCGTGAGAGAGGACTTGATCTTCTGGGCTGTGCAATGCTTGGGCCTGGCCCTCTCTCTGCTAGGTGTTTCGAGAGTCTCCTAACCTGTTTTCTCTTTTTGCCTCTTCTCTCAAGAACATCGTGACCTAGAAACTCTGCATTTCTTCTCATGGTTTTGCCCAAGCCAGGCAAAGAGCTTTTCTCTGCCTTACAAAAACCAAGCGACGGCGGGGAGCAACACCAGCCCCTTTCTGCGGAGCAAGGTCCTCAGCAAACCAGCTGCTTTGATGTCCAAAGGAGTGGTAGCAAGGAAAGGCAAGGCTCGGCA